AGAACACATAAGCTGTCTTCACAATGACAAACTAAATAACCGATATGCAATAGATGAGACAGTGAGAGAGAATTATTTTAATGTGTTATTCTGATTTTATGGTAGTGTACAGGTGGCAAAATATACAGTGGTGTGAAAAAGTGTTGGCCCCCTTCCTGATTTCTTATTTTTTTGCATGTTTGTCACATTGTAACATTAAATGTCTTTACTGAGATTTTTGATCAATTTAATGCCTCCTTTTTCAATATCTTTAAAAAAAATAAAACTTACTGACCCAAAACTTTTGAATGGTAGTTTGTGTGAAATCTATTTATATAATATTGCTTTTTTCTTTGTTAAAATATGGTTTTCTGGTATTAAAAAATATTTTTAAAAGTTTAATAATTTGGATAGAATGGAAAGTGGAACGTGTCTTCATAGAATACAATGTAGATTATGCAATTACTTACAGAGACAGTGGTGCTTGGTATAGAGGCACTAGACACTGCTGCGCTGGGCTGGTCTTCAACCTGGGAAGGTCTCCTGGCCACATTAAGATTCGGTTTTGCTGCAGCAATGTGAGAGCCGGTAAATCTTGGTTTGGTATACTAAAAATGTGAGAAGACACAATGTGTTATAATAGCAAGCATTACTATTTATTTTAATATTACTATTTTAAGTAAATGCAGACTTCAAAAATACTTCTTTCTGAATGGAAGTGTAGTCCATAAGAGGAATGATTCATTAGCAGTACTGACTCTTGAAATAACTACAAAGTATTTGCATGGTGGAATAATTATTAACATGTGTACAATTAATAATAGCCAGCGTGTATGTGGAATGTTACCTGAGATATAGAATGAAAAAGAGAAAATGTAGCTTTAACACATGAGAAGTATAGAGAGAGATGCCATGAGGGACATGAGTCTAGCTCAGTGACCTTCAACCCAGGCCGAGCTCAGTTAGAGAGGAAGAGGACAATCCAAGAGTAGAGCCCAGAGATGAAAGAGAGAGAGCACACAGGTTACATTCTTCATTTATCCTTGACCATGTGACTTAAACCAAATCTGAGATATTCAAACCGACCAATCAGCAGACAACAGCTGCCCCCACTGTACAAGAGGTGTGACAATTAGTAGGTCTCAGCCAGCATCTCTTAGTTTTCTTGCTTTCTTCTTACTTTCTGAACTTCCTCGAATTTGAAGTGAACTCATACTTCAATGCTTTAAAAAAAAAATTGCAACTCACCATTGACAATTGTGCTGCAACTCTTGCTGCCACAGGAGCAGTAGGCTGGGGCTGGGGGTCCGGCTGACTCTGCTCCATGGCCTTCTTTGCTGTTCCAGCAGCAGCAGCAGGTTGTTCCACCACCCTTTGTGCTGGTCCAGTAGGGCTGGCAGTTGGCTGTTTAAGACAGCCCAAAAAAAATACATGTAACAATTCAGAAAGAAAACCATTTCAGTAAATAATACTAACAAAAAATACTTGCTACATTAATGTTACCTTTGGAGTGTGAAAACCACAGATGCATTTCAGCACACCTCCAAGCAAGTTTGTCTGGCCACGAGACAGCATCGGACATTTCTCAATCTGTAAGCATAATAACAAATGTAATGCACAATACAAGTGAGTCCCTTAACAGAGCATACAATACTTCATTAAATTCATATATTAATTAATTCATTGATTAATTTCTAGGACACGAGTCACTATTTATCTTATATACAGTGGTGTGAAAAAGTGTTGGCCCCCTTCCTGATTTCTTATTTTTTTTGCATGTTTGTCACACTTTAATGTTTCAGATCATCAAACAAATTTAAATATTAGTAAAAGATAACACAAGTGAACACAACATGCAGTTTTTAAATGAAGGTTTTTATTATTAAGGGAAAACAAAATCCAAAACTACATGGCCCTGTGTGAAGAAGTGTTTGCCCCCCTGTTAAAACTGTGGTTTATCACACCTGAGTTCAATTTCTCTAGCCACACCCAGGCCTGATTACTGCCACACCTGTTCGCAATCAAGAAATCTCTTAAATAGGACCTGCCTGACAAAGTGAAGTAGACCAAAAGATCCTCAAAAGCTAGACATCATGCCGAGATCCAAAGAAATTCAGAAACAAATGAGAAAGAAAGTAATTGAGATCTATCAGTCTGGAAAAGGTTATAAAGCCATTTCTAAAGCTTTGGGACTCCAGCGAACCACAGTGAGAGCCATTATTCACAAATGGCAAAAACATGGAACAGTGGAGAACCTTCCCAGGAGTGGCCGGCCGACCAAAATTACCCCAAGAGCACAGCGACGACTCATCCAAGAGGTCACAAAAGACCCCACAACAACATCCAAAGAACTGCAGGCCTCACTTGCCTCAGTTAAGGTCAGTGTTCATGACTCCACCATAAGAAAGAGACTGGGCAAAAATGGTCTGCATGGCAGAGTTCCAAGACGAAAACCGCTGCTGAGCAAAAAGAACAAAGGCTCGTCTCAGTTTTGCCAGAAAACATCTTGATGATCCCCAAGACTTTTGGGAAAATACTCTGTGGACTGACGAGACAAAAGTTGAACTTTTTGGAAGGTGTGTGTCCCATTACGTCTGGCGTAAAAGTAACACTGCATTTCAGAAAAAGAACATCATACCAACAGTAAAATATGGTGGTGGTAGTGTGATGGTCTGGGGCTGTTTTGCTGCTTCAGGACCTGGAAGACTTGCTGTGATAAATGGAACCATGAATTCTGCTGTTTACCAAAAAATCCTGAAGGAGAATGTCCGGCCATCTGTTCGTGACCTCAAGCTGAAGCGAACTTGGGTTCTGCAGCAGGACAATGATCCAAAACACACCAGCAAGTCCACCTCTGAATGGCTGAAGAAAAACAAAATGAAGACTTTGGAGTGGCCTAGTCAAAGTCCTGACCTGAATCCTATTGAGATGCTGTGGCATGACCTTAAAAAGGCGGTTTATGCTCGAAAACCCTCCAATGTGGCTGATTTACAACAATTCTGCATAGATGAGTGGACCAAAATTCCTTCACAGCGCTGTAACAGACTCATTGCAAGTTATCGCAAATGCTTGATTGCAGTTGTTGCTGCTAAGGGTGGCCCAACTAGTTATTAGGTTTAGGGGGCAAACACTTTTTCACACAGGGCCATGTAGTTTTGGATTTTGTTTTCCCTTAATAATAAAAACCTTCATTTAAAAACTGCATGTTGTGTTCACTTGTGTTATCTTTTACTAATATTTAAATTTGTTTGATGATCTGAAACATTAAAGTGTGACAAACATGCAAAAAAAATAAGAAATCAGGAAGGGGGCCAACACTTTTTCACACCACTGTATGTGCACTTCCAATTTAACCTGTTTAATAAAAAAACTCAACCACTAGAGCCAACAGGATGATAGATGAAACTCCACTGTCTGGTTTTGACACTATAGACTTACAACTACTTTTTGAGCCTGAAATGATGATAATGAGTGTATGCTAACAGACTTGAGATTTTTACTACACGAATATTGCTAAAATGCCTAACTCCAAAGTGACTTTTAGAACGCTGAAAGATACAGAGTATCATTGTAAAGAGCCACAACAAAGTGCCTTAGATTTGACCTCCTCAAGCTTTACCCATGTGTGATTTGACAAGATGAAATGCCTGACACTGATATGGGAACAAAGACATTTTGAAAGCTAAAACCGTGTAATCACATTAATTTACTGCAGACGTCTGAATGATTAAATGAATAAATAATATTTTTTACTGTAGACTCCTCTTTTCTGATTGTAATGTCCTGACATAAACGTTCCATGTTGTTGAAGGATGGGTCATATTAAAATAATATAATTACTATTTTTAAAATAAATAAATTCAAACATTTTAAATAATGTAATTCTTACTAGGTCTGTCACAAATTCAGATTTTCACTGCACTAATTTCTAATGTTATTATCCTGACACTGGCATTTACTTTTTGTTAAATCTCACAAACAAATGTAAGGGTCATATTTAAAATTATTTACATAATTCTTATTAGGGTATGTTACAATATCATATTTTCACTACACTCCCCATTTCTGATTTTAATGTCCTTACATTGATGTTTAATTTTTCTCACTATATATATATAATTTTCAAATATAAATCCCAAAATATTGAAATGTAAATAATATAATTCTTATTAGGGCTGTCACAATATCAGATTTTCACTACACGATTATCATGACCAAAACAATTCTCGATAACAGTATAACTGCAATGTCTATAGAATTCTTTATTTAAAACAATCAGTCAAATTCATCTTTCACTTTAATGAATCACACTGAAAATACGGATTTTTGCAGAATCCAAAAACGCCCATGCTGGTAAAGCGAACTTTGTTCAGGTGTGAGTAGAGTGTCTGGCTTTCACCCGTCATCTCCTCCGAAATGATTTTGTGTGGCAGTAGTATCTACACGCTGGCTGCATTAAGCCGTTACTTCTTTTGAATAAGTAATTATTTTGCATCCATTAAAAAAGTGCAATATAAAATGAATGTAATTTGGACATACTATATTCGCCATGTTGTCATAGTCATGTGACCTACCAGCAGTTGCGTCGCTTCACAGCCATTCACAACTCCTCTCCTGAAGCCTCATGGGATAGTAAAGTGTCCTTTGGATGCACACTTCAAATAGCAGGTCATCTGGGTACTTTTTGCCTGCTGTTTTGTGAATACTGTGAATTCATACATTCATACTCATTTCACATGCTGTTTTTCGCTTGCTATATAATTGGCAAGCAATGTGATTTCAGATGAAGCCACTGCATCCTCTTTGTCTCCTTTTTCAATTTTATGACAATTACAACCAGCGTTGAGGTGCAATACAGTCTACTACTATGATATTAATATTTATTTTTTTTTACTCTCATAGATTTTGTTACCATTGCCATGCATTATACAACTGATAGACTGCAACGGTTGGACTTAAAAATCATCATATGTGTTCTACTGAAGAAACAAAGTCACCTACATCTTGGATGCCCTGGGGGTAAGCAGATAAACATCAAATTTTCATTTTTGGGTGAACTATCCCTTTAATGTCAATATTATCGTCAATATGGGTATGTTTCGACACCCCTTATTTCATTTTCTCTCAAGTAAAATGTGATCTAGGCATTGACAGTTTTGATGACATTCACCTTGCTGTCCAGATCCTCTATCAGGTTTTTAAAATCCAAAACAAGTGGAACTGAAGGTTATTTCAATCCTAGCTCACTCACACACACCATGTAACATGAGAGGTGAGCCTTGAGGAAAGAAACGCTGAGAGGGATGTTCTTCACATCAGTCTGTCTTAATAGAGATCCAAGCTGGCAACACTTTCAATGGGTGTTCCTTACAGGCGCTGCAGAAGTATGGGAATGCTCTCAGAGTGACGATGTCCGTGTAGGTGAATAGAGGCGTTCTCTCTCGTGGGTTGTAGAAAGTCACCCTGGACCTGTTCATGTCCAATACGACTCTCACCACCTGTGGCTCCTTAGTCATAGTGAGTGGGGACCACGGGGCAGTACAGGCTTTATATTCTCCGTTTCGTAGCCTAATGGTCCAGAATCCCTCTGCAGGGGTCAACACGTGCTTTCCCTTCCGGCTGACAGATGTGCTTGCAACTCCGATGACCCAGTAGGTGTTGTTTTTGACCTCCACATCCCAGCTGTGTCGCCCAGAGCTGAAGCTCTCGTAGCCCAGCACCTCTGCACCTATATCGAACCGCTCTGGGTTTTCTGGGAGTTTAATGGTCTGAGAACAGCACTGTATTGTAGTCAGATCCTCTGACAGGAGGAAGCAGCTTGCCGCTGTGTTTGGATCAAGAGTCACTGGAGCTGCAACAAAGGAATAGTTTGAAAGGTGAAATGTTGCTGAGCAAGCAAAGTGGTCTCTAAAGCAACTATATAAGAGTGCTTTTTTCATTTTTGCCTTGAAATATCAGTTTCAAAATCATTTTGGTACAATGACTTCTAATAAGTTGAATGGTTTCTGTTTCTTTCCCATACTTCCCATCTAGGAGTATGTAAGTTTGGTGAGCAGGCATGAAATCCCATGAAAAGGGCAGAAAGTGACACTATCTACTGTTATTTGCGTCAATGAATGCCACTCAATTAATTGTAGGGGATTCCAAAGGCACAAAAATACACAAAACTACATACAGTTGCTTTAAACATGAATATCGTGAGGAAACGTCCAGGTCTTTTTAACCAAAATATTAAATAAATAATGATAATAATAATATTTTTACTTAAAGAAAAGTCATATTCTTCAACAGTGTTGGGGGTAACGCATTACAAGTAATGCAAGTTACGTAATCAGATTACTTTTTTCAAGTAACTAGTAAAGTAACGTATTACTTTTTTATTTAGAAGGAAATATCTGAGTTACTTTTTCAAATAAGTAACACTAGTTACTTTGTTTCCCTTGACTGACAGCTCTCATGTTGCCATGTTGAGAAAACTGGGGAGTAAGTGCAGAGGCGTTGTGTGCGCTGTGATGTTACTGTAGTTCTAGATTAAATATGAACATTATTTACTCTTCTCACTGCAGAAAAAAAAAAGGGTTCAGTATTCCTCAAAATGAATAAAAACAGTCAAATGCAAACTCAGAATATTATCTAAACCTGCAATAATTAAATATGTTAAATAATATTAAATAAATATATTAAATAAGACCTTCGATGATCTAATTCAACCATACTAATAAGCAAAAATGACATGCTTACTTTTTTAGGGAGTAACGCAATATTGTAATGCATTACTTTTAAAAGTAACTTTCCCCAACACTGTTCTTCAATTCATAGATGCATTATGACATTACTGACATCATTTTCATGACAGTTAATCAAATTCCGCCCTCAAAAACATGAATTAAATTCAATACATATTACTACCATGAAAACATTTGTGTACTTTTGGTAACACTTTATTTTACAGTGTCCTTGTTACGTGATACATGTACTTACTATATAAATAACAATAAATTACGCGTAATTATACACACAATTTAACCTTAAACCAAACCCCCATCTTACACCTAACCATACAGTAAATACATGTGGTTAATTAATTTTACTCAGTACTTACATATATAATTACATTGTAAGAAGGGCAATGTAAATAAAATGTAACCATACTTTTATAAATGTATTTATTTAAGTTTATTATTATTATTATTATTACAGTCATGTGAATGTGTGGTTTTTTTTACATATGAACTTTTCCACAACATTCTAATTTATTGAGATGCACCTGTACTGGCCATTTTTGTGTTTAGTCTTGATAAGAATACAAAAAAAATATTTTTTCCCTTTTTGGTTAAATTTGATCTGGATATTTCTTAGTGATTTAAAATTGACAAATAAATAAATGTGAAAACGTGAAAATGACTTGGTAGTTTGATACTGAATATACTCACTATATTGAATGATTTCCATCATTCTTTCCCAGACTTTAAACTTTAATGAGCCTAGATGTTTGGCTATATCAAGCAGTGAACCTGTTGTCATCTCTGGATTCTGGGGAACACGCCAGGTTCTGTCAACACAGCAAAGAATACAGAGTTATTCTGGGTCTAGGTCACAGAGCAAATTATACTATTTAGATGGGAAAATGTGTGTAAAATTGATAACAGAAAGGATTTATACCTCTTTACGGTGTCTTTATAATTCTAGGTTAAATAACAAGAAAAGCAGATTACTAAAAGTGCAACGTGAACTGTAAGTTGTGCTTTTAAGTCATTCCTTTAGGAATGCTCACCTTGAGGAATGGGATATCCTGAGATCTCAACTCCTGTTCAACAGTTCTTATAGTGTTGCTAAGTGAAGTGATGTCGTTCTCCAAGTCTTCAATCCTATCGCTCATCATCTGTGTTTTCTGATCCTTCTCTTGCTTTAGCATGGAAAGTCTGGATGTTTCCTCGTCTCGCAGGAACTGGTGCAGCGCCTCAAACTCCTCTCGTATCTGCCTCTCCGTGTTCTCTTCCTGACTCTGTAATGAGAACGTCACTTTTCTATCTTTCTATTTATCTTTATCTACTTGTCTCTTTCTATAGTTGTTCACCTGATTAACAAAGCAAATTCAAAATGAGTATACCTTAATATGATCTATTGTTAGCTCACAAGTGAGTTTCGCTTTTCGGAAGAGCTTCAGTTTTTCCTGAAGTGGTTTCAAAGCATTTTTCAGTTCCTCCTAGAGTGAATACAAATGATAACGCAAAAAGGATTTGTAATTATTAGATGTGCCAATAATGAAACGCACCTGTTTAGTTATTCATTAGAGAGGCCCAAACTTTTGTGTCAAATATCTTTGGGACAAAAACAATGGCAAATGAGTGGGCCTCATAACCCTAATCTAGGGTGACCATACGTGCCATTTTCCCAGGACACGTCCTGGCCAGGATTTCTATATTGCCTAAAATATCTAGGTTTTGGCTTTGTTTGCGTGTGCAGACCGATCGGTGTATGACATCAAAGTACCATACAGACGGTTATGTTTTCGAAACGCTCTCGAGGTACTTCGATGTCAAACACTGATCAGTGCACTGCTTTTAAGTCGAACACACCTAATATTTACGCGTAATTGCATCGCTTTGACCGTAGATCCCACCTTCTCACACGCCATGATTGGTCCATTATGTACAATGCTTGCATGTTATTGGTCAAACTACTTTTCGATCATTACCTTCAGCAAGCATGAAAACAGGAAAACAAAGCCTAAACAAATCCTGGCCAGGACGCGTCCTGGGAAAATGGCACGTATGGTCACCCTACCCTAATCCATCCTTGGTCTTGACCTTAAAAGACTTTTAGATTCTTTTGAGGATTATTTTTTAGATACTAGTGTGTATTTTCATCAACTCTAAACTAAGCACATGGGCATCTGGTTTCAGTCCTACCAGGAGGCCTCAAACCTAGCATACCGCTATTAATAGACTGATAATCAACACCGCCAAGAATCCATAAATAACCATTTCTGAGGTCCTAAAGAGAAGGGACGGTTGTCCAAATGGTTATTCTCATATTAAAAAAACTTTTTGGTTTCCTTCTAGTCCTTGAATTGGCAGTACAACTGTTGAAACTACAGATTGGAATCAACACTGCATCTAAACAAATGTCAAAAATAGATGCAAGTGTCCATGAATCTGTATGTAGACATACCTTACAGTCATGTGAAGCTTCATTTAAGGGATATAACCTGTGACCCTGGTGATTGGCAGATGACTTGCATTTGCTACAAGTGGGTTCCAGGTCCTCCAAACAAAAGAGTGTCAAGGTCTCACCGTGCTCCTTGCACGCAAGAGGGTCATTTTTGCAGCGCTCCAGAAAGCCCTCGCAGGTCTTCTCAAGCGTGGTATTGACTATGAGCTCTCCCATAGATGATAGCTGACAGCAAAGGGGGCATACGCAAGATCCTCCACCATTCCACAGGCTCTCCAGACAAACTTTACAGAAGCGATGTCTGCAGAACAGCACTACGGGCTTTTGCAGGATACTTCCACAGATGGGGCATGACAGGTCTTCTGCGAGGTGTGACTGCTTTGTGGCCATTGTTCCTTTGAGCCCTTCATTGCCCAGTTGGGTCACAAGGGGGTACTATGCCCTCCCTCCCACTTAAGATTACCCTTGGGAGATCTGTCTTCTGATTGGCTGCCGTATTTACTCAGACTATACATCACTAAGCAAGGTCTAGGCCAACACATGATATCTTCTGATGAATGCCTAAACATCACATTATGTAACATCAAGCTCCTGGAGAGTGATTTGACCCCGGCATTGACGTAAGAGGGAATATGTCAAGATTTTCTGGGAGAAGATAATATATGCCACCTCATAAGAAAAATTAAAAGGCAGGAGAAATAAACAGAAAACTGGCAAGAACAGTGCTGTGAAAAAGTTTTTGCCCCCGTATGATTTTCAGTGTTTTACACTGAATGTTGTCAGATCTTTAACCAAAACCCTTCATGAACAACAACACAACCAGATAAATCTTTCATGCAGAAGGTTATAAAACATTCAGAGCTATTTGCAGTTAATGCTGCAAATGGAGGTGTAACCAATATCTGGTTGCATCCGCATTAGCAGCAATAACTGCAACCAAATGTTTCCTGTAGTTATTTATATGGAGGAATTTCGGCCCACTCCTGCTTGAAGAACTGCTTCAGCTCAGTGACATTTGTAGGTGTTGAAGCGTGAACTGTGCGTTTTAGATCCTGCCACTACAACCACACTTCATTGGAGTTTAATTCTGAAATGTGACTAGACCATTTCAGAAGTTCAGCTTTCTTTAGGGATCATTATTTTGGAACACAACCCAGCTGGGCTTCAGCTTAAATTTAAAAACAGGAGGCTTTTATCCTCCTGAATAATTTTCTGGTACAGAGTAAAATTTATAGTTCTTTCAATGATGCCATGATGTCCAGGTACTGATACAGCTAAACATTCCCAAACCATCAAACTAGCACCACTGTTTTTGACCAGTTATTTTTATCAAATACAGGCAAGAGAGGCTTGAGGATCTTTAGAAGTTGCTCTAGAGTTCTTGGTGACTCCCAGAATAATTTTTGCGCCTTGCTCTTGGACAAATTTAGGCAAGACAACCACTCCTTGGAAGATACGCTAATAACCAACAGCTTTACTATTAAAGATGAAGTATTTATAAAAGATTAACTATTCCAAACAGTAAACATTTGAATATTATGACTCTAATTGTGGTTCAGTGGAGGCTTAGAGCCTTAGAAATAGCAATTTTGCAACATGGAAGCAAGCTATTTTCTGTGAATGTACGAGATATCCGATTTATTATGCTCTATAAGTAAATGGAGGAATATATGTATATCTATTTTATAACAAAGAATGCCACAGTGCAGTAAATTGTAAATGTATTTGAGCTACAAGCCAGCGTGTTTATAATTACAAGAATACATTCAAATAATGTGATAAGTAATACCAGCTCGTAATGTCAAGCAGCATTATGGACTGTTTTGTACAGCTAAAATAATTAGAAGCAAATGAAACCTGAATGCCTCGCACGTTCAAGTTATAAATGGCCGTGCCTGTTCTTACATTAAAAATTAGGTGAATATGTTACCATAATCCATAATGAAATCTGACCACTTGCAATGTTAATGTGTCCAAACTCAGAAATTCAGACAAGGGACAAAGACGTTTTCACAGACCTGTGAAACTGAGAATTTACCAATAGAATATACATATAAAGAAAGTCCTTTAAGAGAGTGTAACAAGGTTGCTGGTGGTTGTTGACATACTGACAATTTTGCTAAATAAAAGATCAATTAGATTATACAAGATAGTGAAAAGATATTCAATATAAGATTTACTGATTATTTCCATGCATTGTTCAGCAGGATAAGCTTGAGCAACTTAATGCAGTCTTTATTATATCTTTATCATTGTGCTGTGCTGTATTTAATACCTTCAGTCTTTGCTCCCTGCACTCTCTGAGATGGGATCCAGAGGCCTCTTTTCTGCAGAAGCGACATTGCATCTCCCAAAACTGCTGACAGCAAATTTCACAGAAGCTGCACCCGCATGAAATACAACAGAGGACCACTGGAACACTGAACACTTCCCCACACACCGAACAAGAAGGGTCTTCCTCTAAGAGCTGCGAATCACCCTCCATTTTCTCTGTTGAGATGAGCTGATATTGCGTCTTCAGTTCTAAGTGTTATAGATAAAAATATCTCCGCTCCATATGTGCCTTTTCATACTCCAGACGCTTGACCTTTAGACTTGACGTCTGGACGTAAATGATCACAGACACAGATTGAGATCTGATGTGAAGACAGCATTTGTTAATATTAATCATTTCCATTAGTTGGATAATGATGTGCTTTGGGATTTGCCATAAACCTCAGCACCTTGATGTACAATATATAAAACGTTATCATGCTTTCTTTGTCATGAGCTTCATTTGTGTACATCCTGTATACAAAATTAGCTTTTTGTATGAATTCTGAGAATCATGTGGAATGCAGTGAATTTTTCCAGTGGATACACTCTGATTTTTTGGCTCCCTGATTTGAGGCAATGCCCCTCGTCAGGGGTCCCCATGCTGCTCACATATTCTTTACTGTGAAAAGAGGACAGCCTCAGAGCTTTGTGTGTCTCCCAGACCTGTGAAAGACTGTAAAAGCCGCGTTGACATGCGAGGCACTGGGACATCGAAAAACCTCTCTGCAGAGCACAGGGACTCGTCATCTAGGAAAAAGGGGTTTCAGCCTCCAGTTCTTTAAGATCTGAACACTTTAATGTGTCCCAGGGATGTTCTACATCCACATATACTGTGTTCTAGGCTCTTGTAAAACATGCTTTTTATTTGTCGGTTCACTTCTGGTAACTAAATTAAATCAATTTAATTGATTTAAACCAAGTACACTTGCAACAGTTTTAAGGTAGTTTGCAGGCAGGTTGTTCCAAACATCTTGGGAAAGTTACCACTGTTTTTATGCATTTAAGGTGCTTTTGTAAAAAATTAATAAATTAAGGTGCTCATGTAAAAATAACAATAATGATAATCATTTAAAATTATTATTTATTTTGGTATATATTCTCAGTTTATTTGAAAAGAAATCATTTCAATTTTATATATATATATAATTGCTAAATATGCTTCATTAGGCAGTGCTATGTATTGCAAAAAGAAATAATGTCTGGGTTCTTAAAGATACAGTTATTATAGTAATAAATTATATTGTAATTTCTGATAATATTATTATTTATTATTATTTAGTCATTTATCAGATGCTTTTATCCAAAGCGACTAACAAATGAGGACAACAGAAGCAATCAATTGTAGTATTAAAACAACTAAAAACAGATCCAAAACTAAAAGCTAAAACTTTATAAATACTACCTATACACGTTTTAAAAATAAAGAGATTAAATAAAAATTACAAATGCATACAACAAAATTTAAAAACTTAACATTTAAATGAAAAACAAAAATAAAGCTAAAAACAATTCAAAATAGTAAAGAACAAAAGGTATGAGTATAATAATGATTCTAACATAACACTAAGCCAAACACCAAAAAAAACTACATATATGTACAACCACACACACATACATACACACACACACATACACATATATATATATACACACATATATACACATACATATACACATATATATATACATATATACACATACATATATATATATATATATATATATTATACATACACATTTATGAATTCAATATTTATGTTATTTCATTTCCATTTAGTTTGTTGAAGTATTAAAATAACTCAAATTAAATAAAAACTAAAAACTTAATAAAAGACCTATACAGACATAAAAAATTCAGACGTAATGTAACTAAAATTAAAATAAATAACAAATACAAATAAAATGACAGTAGTTTCAGTAATCCTAAAAAATAACACTGCCAAACACATGCTAAAAAACAACTTACTTACACATAGTAAGAAATGGTTATAAAAAACTGAAACAGAAGTGAAACAAGTAGTAGGAAAGAGGAGAAATAAAAAGCGATACTTATCCTTTGCCGGTGTCC